CAGAGCCCTACTCTCTGTCAGACGTTCCAGTTTCCCAGTTACCTTTGCCCCATTGCAAACCATCAGGTTATTTTGTCAGAAAACAAGTTAATTATCCTGAAAACCAACTAAGTTATCAGCTAAAGTGCAGGACCCCTGCGGTAAGAAGTACGCATCTGTTTTTAGATGCGGAACATCAGCTTTAGCAGAGCCCACGAGGATTCTCCCCTACCCGCATGAACAGTAACAAATTCAGTTTTGGAAAACTGCCTGTAAAACTTTCGGCACGCTCCCATCGACAGTGAGGTTTCACGGGAAGAACAGAACAAATGCCCATTCTGTATCACTAATTCTGCACGAGAAGCATCATCCCTACCCGAGCTACATCATCCTTCGGTCAAGTACAGGCAGGAGCGCAATCCCACGAGCTGTACTTCAACTACTGAGAAAAGAAGCGCAAACCTTTAGAAAAATACAATGCAAGAAAAAATTTGAGATAAAAATATATACCTTTGGTTAAAAACCATCCCTTTAACAAGAGTCCTTTGTAACTCAGCTAGAACAAAAAAGCTTCACTTAGACTGAACAGTAGTAAAAATTAGTTCTAAGCTCTTATTTCCTAACCCAAAGGACCCTTCTAAATTGTCAGTAATTTTTTTTTTTCAGGATTTACACATTTGATGTTCATTATTTATAGGGATCATTATATTTGCAGCAATAAACTATATAAATTTTCCATGAAGAGAATGTTTGTAGCACAAGCTCCTCCACCAACAGTCTTTACCAAAAAAAAAAAAAAAAAAAAAAGGACTAGAAGTTCTTAATTAAAGAACCGTTGAAACATGTAGTTTTCTTCAGATACCGAATAGCCAAACTTCTTATAGAAATCCACATTTTTTGGCAGACACTCAAGCGTAATTTTGTAACAGTTCAGTCTCTTACTTAGCAATGTCAGGGTGGACGTTAGTCTGAAAGAGACAGAAAACCAACGGTTAAATGAAACTGCCCTGAATGCTGGATCAATTAACATTTAATTAGTTGAAGTTATCAGACCTACAGCACTGAAGTTTGACAGCACTCTGCACTTTCTTCACTACGCAGGATAGTTGCTATCCTCTCGCTCCCCACCCCCCAAAAAAAAAAAGAGCAAAGTACCAGCGTCTCACAGACAATTTTATGAACAGCAAAGGTGGCAAATACTTACAGCTTCCCAAGCTGCTTTCCTCTGCACTCCCTGCTTACTACAACATCTTCTATCCTTCCTCTCTGTGAAAATACAGGCAGGCGTTAGTCGAACAGAACACCGTTGTGTTAGTTTCCCTACTGCGCTACACATCACGCTTGGATTTTTCCACAGTGTGTTTAGACACAACTCCAGTGGCCTACCCGCTCGTAACGCCCCTTGCCGCAGCCGGCAGGAGCTGCAGTCCCACCGCAGCCTTTCCCTGCCGAGGGATTTGTATCTCTCCAGCTCCCTGTTTTCACACATCTAGCTGGGACTCCAAGGCAGCGAGATCCTTGGCCATCTGCTCCATCAGAACCAAGTCTGACTAGTTAAAAGCTCACTGGGAGGGAGAAGGGGACAGATATCAAATTGCTCTTTTTCCTTAAGAAAAGCCAAAACTCCCTTTTACTATTTAGCTGAGCAGCCAAGGATGGGAGATATTTTTAAAGCGCCTTTGTCACTGACTCAGAAGGTACTTCATCACACAGTGACGCTGTAAAAATAACATGCCAGGGAGTCAGGGGACAGGATCTTTTTCCTCACTTTACAGCTTCAGTGAGAGAATATACCTTTGCACAGGAGTGAGTGAACTTATGTTCTATCACCAGCGTTGCTGTAGCGACAATCTGTCCAAGATTTGTGTCTTCTACGACAGTAACGTAGTAATCGCCAGATCTCTTCATGTGCTCAAAGGTTTCTGTGAGAGCAGACAGACAGCGGAACAGTCACTGTTAATCTCAGATTAAATCGCTGTGAAGTCTAACGCTTGCAACAGCTTCTGCCTGCAGATCACTGCAGGGTTCGGGATCACAAGGAAGATGCACCCAAGACCCCAGAACCTGAAAGACTCAGAGTCAGATTAACCAGAGCCAGGAAAACACAGAAATTAAACAAATGCCTTTTCCTCAGCTGCCAAGAGAATCCTCCTTCCTCAGAGTCTCCACAGATGAAGGTGGCAGCACTGCTAAGTTTTCTTACATCTCAGTCCAACCAGTGAAGCAAGCTCAGGACAGTGCTGAGCTACGATCAAAGGCAAGCCTCTGCCTTGCCACCAGTGCTGCAATAATTCAGCCAAAACAAGTCATCACCCAGTAGTCCCTTCTGCCAGGTATCTAAAGCTCAGTCTCAAAAGCAGGTATACAATTTAAGCCTGTCCTAGCCAAGAAGCCCTTTGGGATAGCTGCAACTGGAGCCAACGCCGAGTGCCAAAGGCTGCCTTGGGAGCTGAACTAATAAATCCCTCTGGCATCAGGCAGTCGGGAGCCTCACACCCAAGTAGCTTTGCCATCAGCATCAGTACCCTCTGGTTCCCACAACCCCCATGGAAATGCCAAGAAATAACGATATACTCACTGATAAACTGCTCTGGGCTTGCAACTCCAGTTTCAGTCAGCTGACCCAGAACCTTAAAAAAACCTATTATAAAAGAAGAGAAGGGGGGAACAACCTTCAGCGAGGGACAGAGACATACAATTGGCTCCAAATAGCCCAGAACAACCTGGCACGGCTGTACGGAGAGTTATCCCTACGGCACCATCCAATTCAGTTCTGTGTAAAAGCCTGTGCTCTGCATATTATAGAACTAGACTGTAATCTTAAAAATCAAGCTCTCGCCTTGAGCAATGCTGAAGGATCAGCTAATGCATGAGCAGCAAACCACAGCTTGAGCGCAGAAGATGCATACATTCATGCAAGAAAAGTATAAGCCTGAAATTATGAAGAATTAAAGTTGTCTCCATGCACTATGAATAATACGCTGGTTCACATTAATATAAAAGAGAACAGTATGAATAACTGTACTCCCTCTCTAAAGCTGTGGTGAATAGGAAGATTTGGCTTGAATTTTAAGATTGTTTTTGAGGTTATTAAAACAGTAAAGCCAATTTTGAGGGTCACCCAACACAGCACCAATCCACAGTGCCAAGCACTCAAATTCCTTACTGACAAAAATAACCCAAATCAGATAAAACAAGCAATCCTAATCTATTGAGAGATCATGCAGAAATACACATTATCTAGTTCAGCACCCAGCTTTGGTTGGTGATCTTTAAACAGGATTCTACCTCGATTTAAATCAGCTGTGCAAAGCGGTCTCAAAACTAGGCCATCTCCTGGATCTAAAGGAGAAATAGCAGGAGAAAACGTCGTCGTGTTCTCACTCCAGTCAAGTTCATGCAGAATATTTGGGTCAAACATCGGCGTGTCATCAGGCATCACAGTTGCAACAGGCATCATGGCTGCAACAGGTGTTCTGGAACAGAACGCACATGAGTAAGGAACATTTTGGTTTGCTCTTCTTTTAGTCTCTAAAAATGCTATTTCCCCTGGTTATATCATCCCATGTGATGTTCCTCAGGGACGTAAAGAAAGGTGAACGAAACCAGAACGGCTGTTCACTTTATCTGCAATTGAAGCTCCTCAACCTTCACCGGACTAGGCCGCTGGGTTAAACAAAGAGCGCACACACTGATGCCGTGCACGTTATCTAAAGTCAACATGTGTGGCACTTTCATGTTCATCCGGGAAGGTTTTTCTCTTGGGGGGGGGGGGGGGGAGCAAACAGGTAAGACATTGACTATAGGATAGTGAACCTGCATAGCCCTCTGAAAAGGAAAGCATCTCGCACTCTCAAGAAACTTCCCTAAAATACTGTTTACTGAGTATACAGGAGATCAGACTAACGCAAATCATCTATGATTTGCATTAGTTTTCCATTTAAGGCTGATCGTAGGAATAGTAGACTTTTTTCAGCCAGTCCCATCGCATAAATATTTAGTGACATCACACATATGAAAACACAGATGATGCAACAGCCTGCATGCACCCTTTCAGCCTGTGCTGTGGTTCTCATGCAGTTGTGTTTGCTCAGTATATTTACAAAACCTAATGCCATCTCAGCTGTACAGCGCAGATACTGCTAGGAGGATGGTGAGACACCTGTTAATGATTAAAGAGAGATTCAGGAACTGTGTATTATTCAGAATTAGGCATAAGAGGAAGCTAAGGGATAAATTTTCCTCATCGCTAAATGCAGGAAGATAATTTTTACTTTGTCACCTGTGGAATACCTGGCCAGGTTTTGGGTAAGAACAGAGCGTATCATGGGAACTTCTCCTAAGTTCTTTATACATCTTCAAAATAACTTAACCGCACCATGAAAGATACAGTAGTCGTGCACTGTTGGACAGGCCAAATAAACATCAGAAAGAATAATTTTGAAAAGTATTCATCCCAAATACATAAGACATCTTACAGCCCTGTTAAGCTGCCCAGAGAAAGTACAGAGGATGTTAGCTATGGAGCATCTCAGCGTAACTGCAGCATGCGAGCCTCAAAACTGAAGGTGGCTCTGGAAACCAAACCGAAAAAGCTTCTTAAAAAAAAAACAAACCCACAAACCCCCCAAAACTCAAACCACCACAAAATCTCATTTTATGCCACCTGGTGGTATACACTGGTCTGTAAATCCCCATTCTCATCTCAATCTTGCATATAAAAGTAAGAAAATTGCTGTTAGAGCAATTAAACAACAATACAAATTCTCATCCCACATGACTCTGCAAAACGAAACAGTGGAGAAAAAAAATGAAATGCAAAGAAAAACATTTCCATAGATGGGAGAGTCAGAAGTGAGAATCCAGGTCTTTGGAGCCTCAGTCCTGAGCTTTAGCGATCAGATCACGCCGACACGTGCAAAGGATTGCAAGCCCATCGCCACGTATTAATTATGTCACTGCTACGCAAAACTGAAGTCTCCCTGGTTCCAGCAATACGTTTGGCATCTCTGTTCCTAGATCTCAATTATTGTAATGTTGCCGTTACCCTGTCCCATTACAAAGCCTTCCTAGAACCCATGAGGGTTCATAATGACATTCAGTGTCCTGTACAGAATAAAATAAATCTAATTAATTTCAGCTCCGGGTTACAAAATACCAAGCACACACAGCAGAAGAAAAGCACATGAAGGAAATAAATTTTTGCATGTCCTTCAAGCAGTTAGTCACAAACTAAGAGTTATTTTTCAAATTACGCCCAGCACAGCTGGACCAGGAAGTTTGGAGCTTCACGCATTTTCTGGAGTCAGGAATATGACTTACTCCATAAACATGTGTTGGCCAATTAAAAGGATCAACGTACGATGAGAAAGAAGAGCTCCAGCCTGTTTCAATGTGTCGCCAGTTTTTCCCTCCAGGAAACACACCCCAAGTGTCCCCCGGAGCATCCCGGGTTCCCCACCCGTGTCGGGAGCGGGACGGGGCCGTGCCAGCGCACCCGGGACACGCTCGGTCCCCTCTCACCTAGCCCACCTCCCTCTGCTCCGTTCCGGGAAGCCCCCGGGGAAGGAGCACGGTACGCCTGGGGTCCCCCCCACCAGGATCTGCTGCCGGGGCGGCCGGT